TTCCAGGAACTTTTAAGTAATTTTTTTTAATCTTTTCAGTGTTTTTAGGCTTTTGAATTATTTACTATGCATACCTTCATGTTTAACTTACTAGGTTAACTGAAATTCAACTAAAAGCTCAATTACTCATTCTCTTTCTACTTCTTGTCCTCGGACTGACAGAAGGGATCAGTCATTAATAAGAAGCCCTCACCTTGACAGCATTGGTTTCTCTCCTCTCTAGAGTCTAATAAATCACAATTAAACATGTAGTCTGTAAAACTGGAGCTTCATGCAATCTCACAGTTAAATATGCTTGAGTTACCCAATGCACTCACCTAAGTGTCAAATTGCTTCTGCACGTAACTTTCTCCAACTTTCCAACACTACTTTTTACTTCATGTCCCTCTTACAGCAGCAGGAAATGAGTTTTTACTGGAAGCACCTGAACAAAGCCATTTATCTCTACCAGTCTCCATGTGAAAGTCAAAGATCTAGGTGGGTTTCTAAAAGACATCAGTACATACTACTCTCTGGAAATTCCTACAGCTCTATTCCTCTACCAATACAGGAAAGGCGCAGGTAAACAACATTTAAAAGGCTAGCTAGCATTAGTGCTTTCTAGACAAACATATTTCCTGATTTTAAGGTATCATTACGAACAAACAGCCAGACTGCAGACTCTGCAGTGGCTTCTACACTCGGTTTGGTAAAAACCCCAAATCACTAATAAAATATTTGTTTCTTGAAATGAGACAGTTAAGGACCACTTTTTTTTTTTTTTTGTAAACACAATGGGATAATGCGAATATTCTGATGCAGAAAGTTCAAATTACCATAGCTACCACAAGAAAGAGGTTTGCCACATGTTTTTCCACACGATGGGATAGGGTCTGTGCATATTTTACGTTCAACACATCCTAGTTCCAGTAACTTGCTGAGAGGAGTCTGACCACAGGGACAGCGATACACTACTTGTGGAAGTCGTGGACAGAGCTGGCAAGGCTGAGGATGGCATACTTGTGTACAGTTGTGCCTCCCACAATTTAATTTTCTGGGAAAAAAAGAAAACCAAGGCGGGGGGGGGGGGGAGAAAAAGGGGAATTATCTGAGTGTATCATGATCACTGAGTGTGAATAAAACAACCTTTTTCTTTTCGAAAGCCTAAATTATAGTGACCTTACTTGCCACATATATTCTGACACGAGAAATTCCCAAATCCATCAGAGAATTCTTCCTTTGTCCCACACAATACTTCTTTAAAGTTCCTTCCACAGTAACACACTGAAAGAAAGCAGTATTGCACAGAAAACAACACAAGAGAATACCAGTTACAAAACACCTCCAGCAAACACACAGTAAAATGTGAAAAATTGTTACAGTTGGTTTTTAGAAGGATAATGAAGTTGCTCTTCTTTAGATTTATTTCAGCAATAGAGGTTTCTCAGTCCTACAGAAGCTGGAATTCACGTTTTCTTTGTTTTGATAAGGAGAGAGTAATTCCCCCTTAGTTTTTATCTGCACAAGAAGTTCACTTATTAAAGCATTACACATAACAAGTTAACTATTACCTCAAAAGTTGAGAAAATTAACTTGCAATTTTCTATATAAACTGTTCAACAAAAATGTATTTGTATACTGGCATACGGACAATTTAATTTCCATTCAAGACTAAGTTTAGAAAATTTTAACATAAACCATACACAACTTGTTGAACTGTGCTTTTCCTATACCTATTTCTATTCTTCTTCCAAGTACTGTTTAATCAAGTCTCAGAATTACAGTAAAAGACTAAGTAGGTCAGAAGGGCCCTCTGAGGGTCAGCTAGTCCAAGCCCTTACTTCAAGCAGAGTCAGCAACAAGATCAGACCACGTCACTCAGTGCTTTATTCAGCTGGGTCCTGAAAGCCTCTAAGTTTCCAAGAAGAGTTTTTCCTTATAGCTAGTTGTAACACTTCAACTTCAGGTCATTTTCTCTCATCCACCCCCCATACACAATCTGTCTCTGTCTTCTTGATTACCTCCTATTAACTACTGAAAGGCCTTCTCAAGCTAAGAAAGCCCAGTACCACCAGCCTGTCCTCATAGGGCACACATTCCAAAAGCCTCATCACCTTGGCGGGATTCTTTCTACTCATGTTTATATACTCATTTAAATGTATAGTGATGCTGATACGTTTTCCATTTTTTAAATATTCTAGCAACAGATTTTGGTTTTAAGCAAAAATGAAGCACTTGCCTCTCGGTATTCGTTTTTTTCACCCTCTCGTTTTCGTAGTGTAGAGTGGATATACATAAGGCATTCCAATACTTACCTTGCTGTGCTGTTAATTGGCAAGGTGAACATTTTCCTGCATGGCACACTTGAGTACAGCTGTGCTTACCACAGTTTAAAATATTTCCACATACATTAGAACAATGAATTTTTGTTGATTGGCCACAGCGAACTGAATGACTGTAGAGAAATGACACCATAGTCTGTCAGCTATCTTAATATTGATAGAGCATTAAAAAGAAAAATACTTTCTCAGTAAAATGCCAAAGCCTTTGAAAGGGAGCACAACTTATTAATGAAAAAGTTTTTACGAAATAACCCCCCTGCTTTTCCCCCTGCTTCCCCTCTCCTGCCCCACTAAAGTGGGACACTTATTACAGTAGTGAGTCTACAGAATTCTCTCTCAACAAAATGGAAAAAAATAAAAGGTGACATTATAACCTGAACGTAAGGTACAATTATGCATCATGCCCAAAGAGCAAATATTTTTATTACAGACATCTTTCCAAAGACTTAAATGCTCCTAAATCAACTGAGCACAATAAAGATAGGGATTTGGGCCTTAACAGTGATTCAATAGTCTACAAGAAGAGTTGGGGTTTTAAAACTATATTGGTGTAAAAAAAAAAAAAAGGAGACAAACCAATAAATTCTCTTCTTTTTCCATTCTGGCTGGCCTCATACAATGGCTGTAAAACGTACATTTGAAATAGTAACTTTAACACATCTTAAAATCGGAGGTGCCATACCATACATTTTGAATGCTAACACTGTACATATGAAAAAATGCTGGTTAGAAGCAACTTTTAAGTATTAAATGCAGTATTACAAAAATCAGCAACCTGGTGAAAGTAGCTGGCACCTGGGGAAAAAATAATAAATAAAATTTGGTTGCATTTATTAAACTTTTACATGCAAGGAATAGCTAGAATGGAAAAAAGGAGGTGATCTTACTATGTAAAATAAAACTCAGTAATCTACAACCAACCCATTTTTCTACTGAAGACAAAGTGCTTTCAACTACAAATACTGCCACAGAAATAGCTGTACCTTCTTTTGAGAAATTAAAATCACTTAATATTACATTCAAACTTTCAGAAATAATTGTAAAAGTCTGAAAACCTTTTTTCTAGAGCAAGGATGCTAACACTGAAATAGAGACTCAGAGCAACTCAATGCAAGAGATCATAGATAGTACGGGCAGTATGGTCTTTTGCTGTTGTCAATGACACTACATGCATCAAACATGCAAGGAAAAGATAGCCTTCAAGTCTGAAATCCACTGCAGACTTCTCTCTTGCTAGTGGTACAGCTTCCCAGAAATCTACATGTTGGTTTTGAAACTATTATTTCTGGAATGGAGTAACTCAACATTACATTCCATTCAGACAGAAAAGACGTGAACTTTTTTCTACCTCTTTCTCTGGGTCTCCTACTAAATAAACCAAATAAATACTACAATAGGATTTCAAAGTCAAATCAACTCACAGACTGCTTGGACAATTCAGCTACACGTACCATAAATTGATTTTAATCCAGACAACTCTTACAATTTTTTTTTTCTTAAAAGACTAAAAGCAATTGCGTTTTTTTTTAAATATAAAATTCTCCAAATTCTTTTAGTGCACAAATAAAAATTACAGCTCAGAATCAACTTGGTTCTGCAAAGTTTTAATAAACTATAAGGAAGAAAAATTTTGTAATATAAACTCCTAATAAACTAGTCTTATATAAAACTTTTGTTCCGGTAACAGAAGAATTCTCACCTCGTTTGTCCACATTCACATGTTTTTGTCACAAAGGCTGGGCATGAAGGGCAAGGTCCTGGATGGCACAGGCTTACAAGTCAGTCAAAAAAAGCAAACGGAATTGTAAAGTTAACTTTAGCTTTACTACACTCCCAGAGAAACAATCCACTGTGACCCAATCCATAGTGCATTATCAGAACATTACGCAAACATACGCTACACTCCTGCAGGGTATGAAAGCATTATTAACACAAGAAAAAAAGATACTGGATTATTACAGTTGCATCATTCTCAAACATCACTGACACTGAAGGAAAACTTCCGTATTCCTGCTCCTGTCAAACCAACAGTAACAGTGCTGCTAACGCATTTCATACTTTGCATTTCACCAGCAGACATACGTCAACTCAACTGTGTTCATCACTGATAACACACTCAAAACAAACATCACATGTCCAAAACATTAATACATTTCTTTCTTCAGTGATCTTAAATAGATCACAGACAAAAACTTCTCTATCAATTTCTTCTTTTGAGTTCGTGGCTTCATCTTTGAAGTCAGCATTTCTAACGCCACCAGTAAGCGTTGTTGCTCCTCTTCCTGCAAGGAAACGCGTGGGAGATGCAGCAAGTCTCCTTCAGTTGTCTTTCTTACCATCAAGTGCAATTTCCCTTGAGTCTCATCAATGCCAGCCCTTTACTTGATTATCAGATCTCACCTCCTACTGCAAGAAATACTAAATGGTCCTATCTGCATGTAAGACATGCTTAGCACAGACAAGCCCAGGCTTGTAGAATTATACTTAATTTGTCTGCACTCTTCCTTAGCCAGCTCCCAGTTCCCTTCCTTTGCAAATACAGCAGCACTCATGTGGAGCAATTATTATCGCCCAGGACTGAACAACCCAGACGCCCTAGCCAAAAGAAAAAAACAAAACCAGCAAAAAACCCCATAAACACAGACTACCTAGTTGCATGGTAATTACTAAATTCCTCAAGTACCAATTAGTACACCAGTTACTGTAGTCACACACAACACAACTAAGTCATGTCAGCAGTTTGTCAACAGCCGTCTGGCTCCCTTCTCCCTCTACCACTCCTCCCAGTTGACAACAAGGCCTAATCTATCGCCCAACTTATGCCAGCTCTAACAGCAAAGCCAAGCCATTACATGATAAACCAATCCAACACAAAAAATCACCACCAAAACCAACCCAAAGAAACCACAACCCTCCCTCTTTGATAGGTCAGTTTTATGGCATAATGAATGAACAGTTTACATAAGCACCAGAGCAGGCACGAGGAAAGGGGGAACAGAACAAAATGGATGGAGCAAGGAAAACACAATACAGAAGGAAACAGGAAGCAAAACCATTAAATGAATTAAAACTGTACTGTGGAACTTGAGACAATGATAATTATGCATTCTGCAGCAGAAAACCTCTTGTAAAAGGACAGCACTACCTACTTCACTACCTTGACTTCAATTCTCACAGACCCATGTAGGATTCTAAAGGCTGAATGTCAGCTTATACCTACTTCTAATCTGATTCCAAAAGTTTTTATCAACTCAAAATACTGTGATCTAGGTCATAACTTGGAAAAGGGTGAAGACCCATCATCTTCAGAAACCTTGTCATGTTAAGTTTTCTACCTGGTATGCATATAGATATTCCCTCAATACCGTCATATTCAAGCAACATTAATGTTGCCTCCATGAGCCCAGCCTTGGCACACTTTTTGATACTAAACCACACAACAGCAGTTTACACTGATCACAAATATTTTAAAGTCACAAATACCTGTAATAGTAGACTGCAGTCTATTTATAGCAAGATTCCTTCTGTTAGACGACCATCACGCAATTAATTTCCAGACATCTCCAAGTTTTGATAACGTGTTTCTGACACAGTTTTAAGTAAGCTTGTGCCATTTTGTTAATATGAACAGAAAAAAATCTAGTAATGCAAGAACTAACTCTTTGAAAACAAGCTTCTGACTTTAAAAATAAGTATTCTTTATGCATCCCTCCCAATACACACACTTACATGCTCCTTCATTTAGCAAAAGTCGCTGGTACAATTTGGTTCATGCAGAAGCCACAGTATCTGTCTACAGTTCCACGATTTACTTGACCAATGCAACAGTTAAGATAGACATTCAAATTTCATTCAGCACACAGACACAGTGCAGAAAATTCTCCTTAGATGATAAAGATGGGTGATACCTTAAGAGTTTTAGTCTGGTTTAAGGGACTAAACAAAAAGTTAAGTTAAACACCTTACCAGTGGTACAAACTAAACTTAAAAAGGCAGGCTGAAGACTTCAGTATTAACTTCCATTCAGTGAACAGAGTCTCATTTTCACTGAAACTCCATTATCTATCATTAGCACGGAGGATTTATTTCACCATTTACTGGTGCTGCTGCTCTACAGAACTAGCATACAAGAAAGGTTCTGATGGTAGACACATCTCGACATAGGAAAAATTAAACTTTCATTTGCCTGACAATGAAAATACTAGATACTGTAAGACAGCCCAAAGGGACTTCCAGTACATGCTGTGGAAAAGATTACAGCACCAAAGACCCACGAAGGAAAACCAGATGCTAAAGTCTAAACTAGTAGAGAGAAAATTTCATTTACTGCCTTTGTAAGGCCTTTTTCAAATGTTCTCAAGGCCCTGCATAGCTCCAATTGGCAGGCAGAATTTCAGAGTTCTTCAGAGTTCACACTTTAAAAAAAGTTTACGTTTGCCATGAAGTTTATTACCAGGAACATTTTCTTGAAGGTTAATCTAGATGTTTCTTTGATGTAGAACCTAACAGAGCAAAATGAATTTCAGTGTATTTGAACTAAAAATGTGAAGAGAACTCACTTTGTGAAGGGCTATGCAAGCCACAGCTCACACTAGCAAAAGGCTCGCAAAGCACTCCCCTTTCAAACAGCTGCTTGCCTGCCTGTTCCTCAACTCTGCCAAGAGAGCTGTTTATATAAATGGCTACTAAGCCATTCCAATAAATCTGAGCAAGTAAAGATTTATTATTGCAACAGTGTAAAATAGCCTCACTCATTTTCATTAAAATGGGCTATTAGTGCCACACTGAACACAAGCATCCAACTAAACTGTACACCATGGGAAGGAGATTAACACAATGACAGCCTCACCACTGTCCTTGTGGCTGTGGAGGCGAC